AACAAATGGGCACTTAGCCACTGGTTGCAGTGGGAGCAGAATCAGGCCCTTTCACTGGAGCCAAGCTGCGCGGGCTATGTAGATCTCAGCGGCAAGTCAGACTGGGATGCTGTGGGCATACGTGGCCGGGGAATCCGGCCCAATGGCAACTCTGGGGCCAAAGTCAGATTTCTTAAAAGGGGTGGAGAGGACGTTTGATCCACTGAGATCAGATTCTTCCTGCCCGGCTGGCCACTCCCTCCCCAATGGGCCTCACTAGCACAGAAATGTGTGTAGAAGCCCATTGCCCTCCGCACCCTTTTTATCTGTATCTTGCTAACTCAGGAGTTCCCAAACTGGGGGGGGCGTGACCCCCTGGGGGGCACGAAGCGACCCAGCCACACCCCCCCATCAATTCCACCCCAAGTTTTGCTGCTATTTTTTTGGGAGGGGGGGCGTCTCAAAACTCAAAAAGGGTGTGTGGTGCTGAACAGTTTGGGAACCGCTGTGCTAGCCCCTTCCACTCTCCTAGCGCTGATTGTTGGCGCTACGCCTTTATGTCCAGCTTTATTTCTCGACGTGATTTCTCTGTGGCTAAATAGCCCTTCCCCGGCAGCTCGGCTTCCTCGCATGAGCAAGGAAATGGTTCCTTGGGAGCCTGGCATTTTATTGAGTGAGCTGGTTTCTTTTTTTCCTCCCTCTCTAAGGGACTGACATTGGCTCGGGGTGTGAGTGTTTACATTCCTCGGGGGAGGGCGAGGTGCATGGCCACAGGGTTGGGCATTGTTAATATGGAGGTGACAAAGAGCTAGGTGCAGCAGGCAGGTCGAGAAGGGCGCTGCGCACACTGGGGGAGGCTGCAAGCTTGAGGCCAGTGAATTAGCCTGCTTCTGTGGGGGGATGGGAAAGGCTGGGTCAGGAGCGAACTGGCTCCGTAAGTGGGAGGCGATGCCATTGGGAGGAATAGGGAGCAAAGGGAGGAGAGAAGGCTGAGGAAGGCCCCTCCTCCTGCTGGGTAGCTGTGTCCTGCACTCCTGCCCTGCTCGGACACTGAGGAGGAAGGATCCCACGGTGGAAAATCAATATGTTCTTGTGTGTAGGAGGCCATGAGAAGAGGCTAGGCAGTGCTGCTCAGTGGGTAGCTGCAGGAGCACCCCTATGACAAGCCCCAACCATGGGACATTGGAAGGAGTCTGTAATAGCATTGTGCTACTAGAAGGGCCTCTTCAGCCACAGAAATAAAGGGTCCAGACAAGCTCCTGAAGTCCTTTTCAGCTGTTCTCCACACCGGCACACATCCCAGTGGCTTCACGGGGAAGTCTGCCTGCAGGAGGACTGAGTAGAAGCTAAAGAAGGACCCCAGGATTGGGCCCAGCAGCCTCCAGACAACTGTAGTTACAGTCTTTCAATACACATGTTCAGCTCAAGATAATGAGTAAGTAAGCTCACAAACCATCTTGACCATAGGGTGTAACTGTCCAAAGAGCAATTAAGTCTGCTTCAGTCTGGCAACTTATTAATCAAGGATCTTAGCTTGCAAATGTTACTCCCTTGAGTAAAAGTAACAGAGAGGTAGCCCTGTTAGTCTGATCTTGGTAAAACAAAACAAGCAGTCAGGTAGCACTTTAAAGACTAGCAAGGCGCACTCAGTCCCCAATGCGCCTACAGCAGGCAGTGTGGGCAGGGCCATGCCTGGAAGTTTGGGAAGGCAGTGTCTTCCCCCACCTATGATACTTGTCACATCTGCTGGCTCGCCGTTAAGTACAGAGTCCAATTCAAAGTCTCTCTCCGATATTCAAAGCCCTCCACTGGACTGACTCCAAACGCCTGCAAGGCAACTTTTCTGTCCCCAGCCTCAGTAGCTACATTCTGCTGGAGCAATGAAAGGATCAGACAGCAGCAGGAGGTACCTGAGTGCAGCAGACGCTGCCGGAGCAGGCCCTAGACCAGTGGTCACCAACCAGTAGATCGGGATCTACCAGTAGATCTTAGAGCCTCTGACAGGTGAACCTGAGTGATTTGGCTGGGAAGCCATCAAGTGTTGCCCCTCCACCTACTGTCATGCTACTCCTGCCCTCTGCCTTGGAGCTTTCCTTTGGGAGCTTCTTGCTTGCTGTGCAGGGTGTGGGAGGGAGATGAGGGGGGTGCTGATGTCAGGGTGTCCCTCCTCCCCACACTCCTGTACCACCCTGTCTCCACACAGAGAGAGGGGGATGGAGGGAGCGTGCCAATGCAAATCTCTGTCACTTTCACACAGTGTATGTGTCTCTGTCATTCTCACAAATACACACTGTCCTTCCCTCTCATCTCCTGACCCAGCAGGTACATGGGGCATTGTCACTACTTTTACTGCTTGCAGAGTGGGTTAGTTTTAGTTTTTGACTAGTCAGTGCATTTCATAACTTTCATTTCTCTCTTATGCTTAAATTTAATTCTTTGAGTAGTGAGTTCTAAAATGCCAAACCTGTCACGTCTGGATTAGTAATAGAGAGATAGCCGTGTTAGTCTGATCTTGCTAAAACAAAAGGAAAAACTATGTAGCACTTTAAAGACTAACAAGATGGTTTAATAGGTGATGAGCTTTCGTGGGCCAGACCCACTTCCTCAGATCATAGTCTGGAAGAGAATTGGCATGACCATATATACCAAAGGGATACAATGAAAAAAGCGAACACATTATTAAACTGACAAATCAGATTTAGTACAGAAGGTGGGGTGAGGGCGTGGGAGGGAGGGAATAGCTATTTGAGTCAATGAATAGCTAATCGGGTGATAAGTAATACATTTTCTTGGGCCTATCTTGAAGTAGATGTTTCTGGGTATTCGTCTAACCAACAATAGAACACCACTTGTCATCACCTATAGCCCCCAACTTAAACCCCTCCGACGCATTATCAATATCCTACAACCTATACTGGAACAGGATACTACACTCTGAGAGGCTCTGGGAGACAGACCCATAGTCTCCTATAGACAACCACCTAACCTCAGGAAGATTCTTACCAACAACCACTGGACATACCACACTAATACCAACCCTGGAACTTTCCCTTGCAACAAACCCTGGTGCCAACATTGTCCACGTATTTACTCTGGTGACATGATCACTGGACCTAACCATGTCAGTTATAGGATCAAGAACACATATTTCTGTTCATCCAGAAATATAATTTATGCCATCATGTGCCAACAGTGTCCTTCTGCTATGTATATTGGACAGACTTCTCAGACACTTCGCTAAAGAATTAATGCCCACAAAACAGACAGCAGACATCTTCACAAGGAAAAAACAGTTGCTTTTCATTTCAGCCTACCTGGACATAGTCTTAATGACCTTACTCCATGCATCTTACTTCAAAGAGGCTTTAACACCAGATTACAGAGGGAAACTTCAGAACTTTCATTCATGCTTAAATTTGACACTTTACGAATGGGCCTTAACAAAGATGCTAATTACCTTAACCATTACAAAGATAGTTTCCCACTTATCACCCCTGATTAGCCATTCATTGACTCAAATAGCTATTCTCTCCCTCCCTCCCCCTCATCCCACCTTCTGTACTAAATCTGATTTAATAATGTGGTCCCTTTTCTCATTGTATTCCTTTGGTATATATGGTCATGCCAACTCTCTTCTGGAATATGATCTGAGGAAATATGTCTGGATTAATTATCCCTGTGGTAATTGTGCTCCTGGAAGTGGCTGGCATGTCCCTGAGAAAATCAGAGCAGAGGGTCTCCATATGCTGTGCTGTCCTTGTCTGACACCGCTCCTAAAGCTCCCATTAAACAATAATGGAGAACTGTGTCCAGTAGATGCTGTGGGGTTGGAGTCTGTAGATGAAGGGCAGAACATGGAGCCACTGCTGTACATGGCAGCTGCTTCCAGGAATGGTGCAGGGCCAGGGTATGAGTAAGCTGCCTTGACTCTGCTCTTCCATTCCTGGGGTGGATGGAACTTGAGCCCATCATCCTGCCCTTCTAAAGGTCCCTTATCCTCCTGCTTTCCTAATGTGGGAGTTGGCTCCATGCCTGGGGGACTCTGTGTTGGCTGTCCTGATGCTTCCAGGGTAGGTGGGACTTGAACCCACCACCCTGTACTCCCCCACAGGAATGCTGTAACCCCATGCTTCCAGGGTAGGTGGGACTTGAACCCACCACCCTGTATTCCCCCACAGGAATGCTGTAACCCTGTGTCCATTAAAGAATCCACCTCTGGAGAGTCCCCTTATGTTGGGGTGGCTATTTCCAGGATAGACAGAGACAGGCAGAGGGAGAGGACTTGAACCTGCAACCCTGTGTGTGCTCCCCAGGGGAAGAGCCCTATTGCTTAGTCCACTCCAGAAACCACCCCCACATTCCTACTTTCAGGGCATCCCTTATTCTGCCTTCCTAATGCAGGAGTCAGCTGTATCCCTGGGGCAACTAATATTGGCTGCCAGGCAGCTCCTGAATGGGTGGCTGGGGGGTACTTGAGTCCACCACCCTGTGG